CTCCATCCATCTGCCCATCCATTCACCCATCCACCCATCCATTCCTCCCTCCCTCCCTCCATCCACCCACCCATCCCTCCATCCATTTAACATTTATTAAACATGACTTAAAAGCCAGCCCACTGTGATAAGCACCTGTGACAAAAAGGTGTACATAGCACCGTCTGGTGGAAGACAGAGACATATCAATGAATACTTAGGGCACAAGGTGGTCATCGCTAAAACAGAGGCAAGTGCCAAAGATTACTGGAGCATATTGTGGGGTGGACTCTTCCTGGGGCAATGAGTGAGTCCTGAAAGAGTTGACAAGGCAGAGAAAGAATGGATGGGAGGGTTAGGGGCATGAGGCCTTTCAGGCAGGAGGAAATCACGGGAGACGCATGGTGGTCTGAGGGTGTGTGGCAGATCTGGGGAGAGTTTCAGCGTGGACAGAGTGGCTAGGTCACTCCTGGAGATGAGGCTGGAAAAGGAGATTGGGGTGAGATCATGACCGCTCTTGAGTACCACACGGACATGAGTGGAACAATGAACTGTATCCGGCATTACTGGAAAGTCACTGCTGGGTTTTGAGCAGACGATTGGCGTTAACACATCGCATTTTAGGAAGTCAATTCTGATAGCAGAGACGAGAGACAGGCTGGGTGGTCACTGGAACCTCAGGGGAGTCCTATATGTGCCAGGACCAGGCTTGCTCAGTGGGTACCTGGAATCCCACTGCGCACAAGCCAGTGTCCCACATGAGTGACCCTCCCCTGATGATGCTGAGTTTCAACACAGATCATTCTGGTCCTGTGTGCATGTAGTATCCTCTGAGAAACTGCTTGTTCCCCCAAGTTCTCAAAGACTTTCATTTCCCATACTCACGCCGTGTTCTCACGCGTGGCATAACCTCCGTGGATGGCCTAGGCCCCTGTACGTGTATCAGCCTAATGTCATGTGGGTGTAACCAAAGCCTTCTAAGAACCTCTCATTCTGATGACACCCACGTTCTACTTTTCCCTTTTCAAATGGGTGCCCCAACCCAGGCAAGACTCTTGTGACTAGCATCTCCCATTTGTCAGCAGCGACCTTAAGTTGCCCCAGGCTAGTGGACTACCATTCAAGGAGTCTGTTTCTGCAGCTGGAGATGAAGCCCAGGACAGCGAAGTTCATCAGGATTCCCCTCCAGAAGCTCAAGCCAGGGGCTTAAAAGAAGCTCTGCTTGTCATAGAGTTAATCCCATTCACACGATTCCTGTCCACGCGCCAGGCTGTCTGAAATTGGACCCACTAGGGATGCCGGCTTTATGACGTGAGGTCAGCCTGGCAAATTCTGGAAACTTAAGGGACACAGCCGGTGTCTTGGGAGGAGTGATGCTCTGGGCACTGGAACAATGGACTTCCAGTTCCGTAAGAGACTGTGGATTGAGAGAGATGGTCCTTCCAGCTATGACAGCCTGGGCTGAAGATCTGAGCTTTCCCTGTGCCCGAAGCACAAATCCATACCACCAGCACTGGACAGACGTCCACCTCGGGCGCGCCCCACACCGTGGTGGGCCCCACCAGGGCGTGAATACACACAGGTTCCTCAGAGGCCATGGATCCCATGACTTGGAAACTCCCAAGACCAAGGCTCTTCACTGTGTCCTTTCTCCAGCGGGTGGAGAACAGTGGTGGGAGACAGTCCATCTTCACTCCTCTCCCTAAAGACCCTGGGAGTTAGTCGGGGGTCTGGGAAAGGCCACGAGGAATGAGGAAAAACCCTATTATTTCAATTTTGTGAAGGTTGACAGGAAGGCTAAATTTTGAGGGCCTCTTCCACTTAGGAGCGCTCCGTGCTATTTTTCTGGGCATTCTTGTGGGACTCCATGCTACAGGGTTTCAGCTCAGAATACAACCACCATTGCTATCAACTACCGTGTGCCAGGCAGTGTACTGGGGCTGTGCCAGCTGTATCTATCCCTCACAGCAACTTTGCAAAGGCATTACAAGGATGCCTGTTTTGCAGATGAAGAAATAGAGCCACAAGGAGATTATGTAATTTGCCCAAGGCCACATCATAAGTAGCAGAACCAGGATTCTAAGCCAGGTCTGCCTTCCATATTCTTTGTCCTCCACTGACAAGCCTAAACCTTGCCATATTGTTGACAGTAGTCTTGGGTTTCCATCACCACCTCCTACCACACAAGTCTGTGGAGTATTAGAAGGAAGGACGACAAGGATGGGGTCCCCGTTCCAAAACTTTTCATCATATACCTTGGGGGGCACAGTCTCTCAGGTCCTTGTGCACATAGGTGGGCAAAGACAGAGTTGGTTCCACCAGCCAGAGAGCCTGGAACCTTGGGACTGGTGGGCCTTGGTGGTCTGGCCTCGGCACTGGAATCCAAGCTCCCAGAACATCCAAGCTGGAGGGTCCCTGGAGATGAGTAAGCTCCTGCAAGGTGGCAGGTAAAGACACTGACTCAGGAGGACGCGAGCTACCCGAAGCCACAGCGCTAGTTAGAACGCTGTGTGTGTGTGAGTGTCCGTGTGTGTGAGTGTGCATGCACGTGCACGTGCACATGCTGGAGATGACAGTGGGGGCCTCCTATCTCCCAGACCCTACGGATGAGTTCAGGTGAGAAGGCCTTGGAGCCGTCGTCCATATCCAGAGTGGTGGGCCACAAAACAGGTTATTTTAAAAATGTGCTTTGTTTTAACGTAAGTAGTGTCTTTGGGACCAGGTGACCCCAAGAAGTGTCAACAGGAGAGTGGCGGATGAGACACAAAAGAGAAGGAAGCCAATGTAGGTTCATTAATGATCAGGTCACTGCTTTGGGCAACTGGGGTTCAACCCCATGGGGCACGTCTGGGAGACGGTGTGAAATGCGTCTCAGAGCTGTCCTGCCCCAGAGACAAGGACGCTGGGGTATTTGTCCACCAGCCTCCACTATCTTTGGTGGAGCACTGCTGCTGAGGGGCACCAACTCCTCAGAACCTCTGCCAAGCATCCTCCAGCAGCATAAAGGGAGCAAAGGGCTATCTTTAAAGGTGTTTGGTCTTGAAAACCTTTTAGGGTTAAGAAGCCTTGGGCATCAGTACCAAGGACAGTGCAGAGCAGAGATGGGTGAGACCCATTGCTGTCCCCAGGAGGCAAGCTGTGCTGGGAGTGGGAAAGGGCTACTTCCATGGGCTCTGCGGGAAGAATGGCCATGTCCTATCACAAGAGGAGCTGAAGTTAGATCTTAAAAAGAACTTCCTGGTGATACTAGTGAAAAAGCCACGTACTTAGAGCTCATCCAACTCTACAGCTTGATTGATGGCCACAGAAGAAATGACCAAGCAAAATGCAGTGGCAAGGAGCTTGAGGCTGCTCGTCGCTAGGGCTGGCCAGTGAGCTCTTCTTTGTCTATGTTTGGTGGGGTGCGGGGGAGTGCTGGGGAGGACAGAAGAAGTTGAATGAAGAGAGGATTCTTCACTCCACCCTTGCTTATTCTAGCACCAGGAGGCTCCAAAGTTTGGGTGGAAACAAGAGCTTGAAGAGGTCCCTTCTCTGGCACGATTGGGGGCATCTTACGTGGGACAAAGCCGTGGAAGAAATAAGCCCTAAGGTTGACTGGCCCTCAACCAGAGCCAGCCCACCTCCCTGGGCCCCCACTCCTCATATGCGGAAAAGGGAGATGGGAAGGATGAACTAGATAACCTTAGAGACTCTGTCCACTGCTGAGGCCATGCCAGTAGCCTTGGGTTCTCTTCAATTCATCCTTCAACAAGTGTTTATTGAGCCTTCGTTGTTTGCTCAGCACTAACTGGGGAGAAGGGATTCGCATAGAATACAAGTGCCGGGCTCTGGTGGGGGCGGGGAAGGGAGATGGGGGAAATAAGAGTTAAGGTTTACGGAGCATTTAGTCTGTGCCGGGCACTGTGCTAAACACCTCACATACGCTGACTCCCTACGCCTTGCATGAGCCCGTAGGGCAGGTACTAGTGCCTCCTCTATACTGATGAGGAAACCAAGGGTCAGGGAAAAAGCGGCTTGACCAAAGCCACACAGCAGTGGGGCTGCACTGGAGCCCCACCGTGAGCCGAGATGCGTCTCCTCAGTGAAGGAGGCGGTGACTCTCTGGTGTTCTAGCAGATGGAGCCTGAAAGCTGGAAACACCGGAACGTCTTCATGCAGGAGATGGCTCAGCACTGGGCCTTGGGGACGGGCAGAATTCAGAGGCTGGCCGGGGAGGGGAGCAACCTGAGTGTAGCAGCCCCCCGGGCAGCCAGAGTGTCGTCTTAGAGGAGGCGGGTGGGCAGCAGCTATGGCCAGCCTGCTGCTGGCTCCACAGGAAGAGAGTAGGGGCTGGGGAAGAACAGATACTTCATAACCCAAGCCAGGATTATAAGCATCACTCCTCCCCCAGCCCCTTTGGGCAGTCTACAGAGGGAGCTGGCTCAGCGAGGATCAGCTTCCTCCCGGCCACTTAAGCCACTGGCCAGAAAGCCAGGCCATTGGTAATTACGGTAGTTAACACACATAGAGCAGGGACCAGGGGCCAGGCCGTTGGTAATTACGGTAGTTAACACACATAGAGCGGGGACCAGGGGCCAGGCACGGCTCTAAGAACTTTAACTAGCTTAAGCCTTCCAGCATCCTTATGAGGTAGGCACTAGTATTATTCCTGCTTTATAGATGGGGAAACAGAGGAAACGTGAGGTTACGTAACCTGCTCAGGGCCCCAGAGCCAATAAGAGGCAGGGCCCAGCCTGGAACTCAGGTAGTCTACCCTTAAGCACCTGCTCTACCGCTTCTAAGCAGGTTCCTGAGCTGCGGCCAATGCCAGCCACTCCCTCCCTCTGCCCCCCGGGGACCCTCCACAAGTTCAGGCTCTCCTCCAGGGCTGGGGCCCTTCCCTAATGGGGACCTAAGGAGGCCCCCACCAGCCCCTCCGCTGGTGAGGCCCGTCGCTGCCAGAGGGCCCCAGCCCCCCTCCCCCGCACTCACATGCACCCCGCCCCTACCCCCAACCGAGCACAGTTGCCTTTCGTTCACAGTGACGGCTCCTGCGCCCAGGCCGGTGCGGGCACGGAGGACTCCGTGGCGGCGGCGGCGGCGGCGGCGGCCGGCAGACCCAGTGCCCACGCCCCGAAGGCTCAAGCCCAGGAGCTGCAGGAGGAGGAGAAGCGGCCGGGGGCGGGGGGCGCCTCCCCGCGGGCCGGCCTCCACTGCGCGGCCTCCCCCAGCAGGCAGCAGCCTGTCCCGGCAGCTGCGCTCTGCGCCCGCGCCCCTGCCGCCTCCGATTACGAACTCTCCCTTGACCTAAAGAATAAACAGGTACCCAGGGCCTCCGAGGGGGGTGGGAAGGGTGGTGGAGGGCCCTGTCTCGGGCGCTGTCCAGGGTACCAGGGATGCCCCTGTCTAGGCCGCCTCTGCTGCAGGCAGACCTCTTTGCCTCTAGTTCTCCCAAACTGGACCAAGTGACTGCCCTTCCCTGCAGCCCAGTTCCTCAGGCAACCAGCCTTACGTGGCAGGGGTCACCCTTGTAATGCCAGGCCCACAGGCAGCGTGTTCAGGGCTCTGCCCCTCTTACCACTGCAGGAAGACCAGCTGCTGACACAATTCCCACCCCAGAAGAGACGGCCCAGCTTACCTGCCCACCCAAGGGGCCAGCCCCCTGCTCGGCACACACAGGCTCACATGAGGTTTGAAGACAGTGGTCTCCTCCAGGTAGACTGAGGAGTCCCAAGATCAGCCCAGACTGGGGGAGTCCAAAGACCCCCTTATTGGAGAACAAATTGCACTGAGGAGTTCTGAGCCTCCAGCTTCCATTCTGTGAAGCAGGAGGAGAAAGAAGTCAGTCCCTGGGTCCCAGCTGAACCCTCCAAAATGATAACGGCATGGCTTGTATGGGTGGGAAATTAAGAGACCTGAAGGAAGATCTGTGTGTGTGTGTATGTGCGAACGCATTTAGAGAAAGAATTTATGACTTAATATTGCTAAGAAAGAGCATTGAGCACGGAGCACAGATGTGGGATCCAATCCTTGTTCTTATTCTAGTTCCTCTGTGACTTGGGAAAATGCCAGTTAAGCATTCTGGGCTTTGGTTTCCTCATCAGCAAAATTGGGAATTAGATCTTGAATCATCTCTGAGGTCCCTTCTAGCTCTAAAAGGTGTAGGTTCTAAAGAACCATTCTTTAACCCAACGGACTGTGAGTTTTCGAAGCGAAGCTAATAGAAAAGTCACTAAGACTGAGTCAAGCCCAACCAGTCTTTTCTTCCTTTCAGCATAGATGTCGAGCTATTATCCAAGGTCAGGGGCTGCAGGCGGTGCACCAGGCTTCAGTAAAGTATTTGACAAAATCTCCCGTGATATCTACGTGGACAGGATAGGAAGTGGGTTAGTTGACAATATAGTCGGGTGGGCCGTTCTCAAACGGAATTGTCAAAAAACACTGATTTTTCTATCAGTGCCAATGCCAGGGTCATTGAGTGGGGCACTGTCCTTGGTCCTGCCCAGGTCAACCATTTCAAAAAAGGACTGATGCAAAGCTGAAAGGGAAAAGCTAATACCTTGATGACAGAATCCCAGATTTGAAAAAAAGAAAAGAACTCATTAGGAAATATTGTTTAAGTGGAAAAAAATCAGATGAAAGAGGGAAAAATCTAAAGTTCTGTTCTTAGCTTTGAAAATCCCACAGCACTACTATAAGATGAGCAGGCTTGGTCGCGGGTGAGAGGCCTTCGGGATTCAGTTGACTATAAGCTCAAGATGCGTCAATAGCCCGTGAAGCAGTTGCCAATGATATGGGTCCAGCAGCCTTCACAGATGGGTGAATAAAACCCCCCGTGTAAGGGGGCAGCTGCCTGGAGCCCCACACTAGTTACTGGTCAGGCTGTCTGGTTCTAGGGGTTCCATTTAAGAGGGAAAAAGAGAATCTTGAGGTTCTAAGGTTCTTCTAAGAAAGAAAACAACTGGCTGGGGTCATACGGGGAAACTGTAGACATGAAAACCAGTTTTAGACATGGAAGAGCTGAATGTGAGTTGGCTGGATTAGATTATTTTCTATCATTCCAGGTAAAAATAGTGGTACTAATGCATGAAACTTGTAGGAGAGGAAGGGGTTTGTTTTTAGCTCCGTTAACAATTAGAGCTGTTAAAAATGTAGACTGTCCCGCTTCTGAGGTAGAGAAGGCCCATGCCCGGGCTGGGAGGCAGTCCATCTGGAACCGCATGCTGTGATGTGGGCGGTCAGCTGGCACAGATGAGAACGTCCTCTCAGTTCCACTCGGCTCCGCCCCTTGAGGACAGAGACCATGTCCTATTCATCCCATCCCCTGGCATCCAGCAGAGTGCCTCGGGCAGAGGAAGAGCTTAGCGAGTGAATATTTTTTGAATAACTGCGATGCGTAAAGCAATGAGGGAGTGGGGTACCAAAAAGAAAAAAAACATGGTCCCTACCTGCTCCCCAAAGAGATTACAGTTCAATTTAAGGAGTACCCTGTTAGTAACACCAAAGGAAACTGGTGCTTCTCCTTGGGCAGGGAATTAGTTTAATTCTAACTGATTAGTGGGATAGGGAGCGTTGTGCAGGGTTCTGACGGGCACTGTGGACCTTTTTCATGGTGGGCATAATTCTAGTAGATGGGTTTGCATGTCAGGCCAGCAGCAGTGGGGCAGGAAAGATGAGGGCTGGTACGGGTGTGGTGGAGCCCTCGTGCCCTGGGGAATAGCCCGCCTCCCCTGGCCCCTGTAGCTCTCCAGGCCAAGACAGGCTAGGGGTGGGAAGGGGAGGGGAGAAAGGGACTGAGGGGAGCAGAGTGGCTAAAAACACAGCACACGTTTACAAAAGATGGAGCTCCACAACTCTCTCTTCTGCAGATGAACTGTGTGACCTTAGGCAAGTTGCTTAACCTCTCTGGGCCTCAGTTGCCTCATACAGCCCTTTGCCTCTACTGCTAACATTCCTACCCCCCTCCTACTCCTGCACTGGCCTCATTCACTCCTTCTCTTGCTTTAGGACTTGCTCTCCCGCACCTTCCTCCTCGCTGGCAGCTCTCCCCGCCCTCCCAAGGCTGTGTTGGATGCCCTTTCTCAGTGGTCCCACAGCACCCAGGCGTTCCCTGACATAGCCCTTCAGCCCAGGATCACCATTCCTGTTTACTTGACGTCTCCTTTAAGGCAGGGCAAAGACATCCATCGTGACACCCCTGGTGCCCGACACAGCGCCTGACATGAGAAGATGCTCAAAGGATGAAGAGGGGAAAGTAACAGTTCAGTGACCTGAAGGGGATGGGGATGGGCATGAAGCCTGGGCCAGGTCCTGACTCTATCTCAGGTTTCTTAGAGATCTAGGATTTAGTATTCTGCTCCTGTGACCCTCATGAGTCGCCCACATCCTGTGGTCCTTGGGCTGGAAGGGATCTGGGACAAAATCACTATCTCCCCAACCTGCCAGGCCCGCTCCATCGGCCACCAACCTGCCTTCACCAACCTGCCAGGCCCGCTCCATCGGCCAGTCCAAACTCCCAGGTGTTTTCCGTGGCTCCTCTCTCCGCCCTGCGTCTGATCCAGCCCCCCACCCCCCATGCTACTCTTAACCACTTCCCAAGTCCCATCCTCTCCTGCCATCCCCCCCGTCCCGGCCCTAGGCCTATGTGCCCCTGGGGAAGCCTCCTATAGACCCTCTGCTTTGACCCAGTCCCCACACCGCAGCTGCATCACAGCGGTCACGGTACCCCACACGGAGGCGCCTACGGCCCCTCGTTTTCTAGGGGACAAGGACTTCAGGCTCTGCCGCCCCCAGATCCGCCCCCACATCCTGCCTTGCTCCCACTCGGGGCTCCAGCTGTGCCTCTTGGCTGTCCTTTGAGCCCTCGTGTACTTCGCTTCCTCTGCTGGGAACACTCCCCACCCATCCCCGGTCACACTCACCTGGGTGATCCCTACTCACAGTTCAGCCTGGGCTCACAGCCCCCGAGCCGGGGAGTGCCCACGGCGGGCTCTGCCGTCTGGCCGCATCCCCCTCGTGAGGGCAGGGGCTCTGTCATGCCCAGGCTGTCGCAGAGTGAGCAGACTGTGCTCCGAATGCCTCTGGGGTGCCGTTCCCTCCACTGTCGGGGGAGGAGTGAGCACTGCCTGGGGGTGAGCCCCGGGCGCTGCCGGCCATGCCCACGTTGTTCCTGCGCCCAGCACAGCCTGGCGCCTTGGAGGAGCACGGGATGGACGAGCCAATGAATGAATGAGGCCCCCAGGCTTCCCTGTTCTCTGTCCCCGAGCACCGTGCGCCGACTGGCCCCCTCCCCGAGGCCCCACAGGGAGGAGACTGTCTTCCTTTGCTTGCTCTGCCCTCAACTCTCCCATTTCACCTCAAGGTGATCCTTGGGGCGCCACCCTAGAGGGAGGGAGCATGTGGACCCCTTGCGGGGAGGTTCCTTTAGGAAGTGGCCATGGCAAAGATACAGAGGGCACGCATGTGATTTCCAAGTTCAAGTTCTCTAGGGAGTTTGTGTCCTGTTCTCTGCGCCTGTCGGGTAGCACCCACTGGAGCCCATCTGGGATGTCCAAACTGCATAGGTCTCTGTGTTGTCCAAGCCCGGCGGCCGTGGAGCTGTGTTCACAGCATCCAGGCCCCGCTCCTGAGTCAGGGTCCTGGGTGGCAGCCGCTCTCTGTCTGAAGAGCAGATCTCCTGGACCCCAAGCCTCAGGGTCCAGCCTCACCATGGGGTGCCTCTCAAGGCGAGAAGTGGTGGCCATGTTTCCAGGTCACCGTCCCTCTCTGGGCCTCAGTTTGCTCACTTGTGTCTGAGGCTCTGTCCCGCTCTGAAGGTGAGAGCGCTACCGCGGGTGTGAGGGCCGCAGTGGACCAGCCTGCCGAGGGTGGCGGTGAAGGCAAGATGCGCCAGGGTGCTGCTCTGCTCCGTGGTCTCAGTTCGGGGACGGTGGTGCACAGCTGCTGTGCTGGGCCCCGTGCGAGGCCTGGGGCACCGCGATGCGCAAGACGCAGTCCTGGGTCTCAGGGAGCTCCGGTGCCAGTGGTGGGCGCTGACACAGGACGGCACAGGCGACACTAACAGCACTGCAGCACTTTCTGTGCGCCATCTCCCCCCCCCATCTGCACAATGTCCCCACGGCCTGAGACTCTCACTGTCCCCATCTTAGGAATGAGAAGACCGAGGCTTAGTGATGTTAAGTGACTTGCCTAAGGACACATTCCTAGATATGCACCCCGTGCAACCAGAACAGACCCCACAGTCCACGATTTTAACCCAGCGCCCTCCCCATCCGCTGCCACCGCAGTGAAGGGGTAGGTTCTGCGGAAGCGGTGTGCAGGGC